CCCTTACCACCTGGGGGCGGCCCGTCAGGAAGTCCAGTATCCAGTTGCAGAGGGAGGTGTTTAGTCCCAGGGTCCTTAGCTTAGTGATGAGCTTTGAGGGCACGATGGTGTTGAACGCTGAGCTGTAGTCAATGAATAGCATTCTCACATAGGTGTTCCTTTTGTCCAGGTGTGAAAGGGCAGTGTCGAGCGCAATAGAGATTATACCATCTGTGGATCTGTTGGGGCGGTATGCAAATTGGAGTGGGTCTAGGGTGTCTGGGATAATGGTGTTGATGTGAGCCATGACCAGCCTTTCAAAGCACTTCATGGCTACAGATGTGAGTGCTACAGGTCGGTAGCCATTTAGGCAGGTTACCTTAGTGTTCTTGGGCACAGGGACTGCTTGAAACATGTTGGTATTATAGACTCAGACAGGGAGAGGTTGAAAATGTCAGTGAAGACACTTGCCGGAGTGTCAGCACAGCACAGCACATGCTCGGAGTACACGTCCTGGTAATCTGTCTGGCCCTGCGGCCTTGTGAATGTTGACCTGTTTAAAGGTCTTGCTCACATCGACTACGGAGAGCGTGATCACACAGTCGTCCGGAACAGCTGATGCTCTCATACATGTTTCAGTGTTACTTGCCTCGAAGCGAGCATAGAAGTAATTTAGCTCGTCTGGTAGGCTCGTGTCACTGGGCAGCACGCTGCTGTGCTTCCCTTTGTAGTCTGTAATAGTTTGCAAGCCCTGCCACATCCGACGAGCATCGGAGCCGGTGTAGTACGATTCGATCTTAGTCCTGTATTGACGCTTTGCCTGTTTGATGGTTCGTCGGAGGGCATAGCGGGATTTCTTATAAGCTTCCGGGTTAGAGTCCCGCTCCTTGAAAGCGGCAGCTCTACCCTTTAGCTCAGTGCGGATGTTGCCTGTAATCCATGGCTTCTGGTTGGGGTATGTATGTACAGTCACTGTGGGGACGACGTCATCGATGCACTTATTGATGAAGCCAGTGACTGATGTGGTGTACTCCTCAATGCCATTGGAAGAATCCCGGAACATATTCCAGTCTGTGATAGCAAAACAGTCCTGTAGCTTAGCATCTGCTTCATCTGACCACTTTTTTATTGACAGAGTCACTCGTGCTTCCTGCTTTAGTTTTTGCTTGTAAGCAGGAATCAGGATAATATAATTATGGTCAGATTTGCCAAATGGAGGGCGAGGGAGAGCTTTGTACACGTCTCTCTGTGTGTGGAGTAAAGGTTGTCTAGAGTTTTTTTTCCCTCTGGTTGCACATTTAACATGCTGGTAGAAATGAGGTAAAACTGATTTAAATTTCCCTGCATTAAAGTCCCCGGCCACTAGGAGGGCCGCCTCTGGATGAGCGTTTTCCTGTTTGCTTATGGCCGTATACAGTTCATTGAGTGCGGTCTTAGTGCCAGCATCGGTTTGTGGTGGTAAATAGACAGCTACGAAGAATATAGATGAAAACTCTCTTGGTAGATAGTGTGGTCTACAGCTTATCATGAGATACTCTACCTCAGGCGAGCAAAACCTTTATACTTCTTTAGATATCGTGCACCAGCTGTCGTTTAAAAATATACATAGACCGCCACCCCTTGTCTTACCAGAGGCTGCTGTTCTATCCTGCCGATACAATGTATAACCTGCCAACTGTATGTTATTAGCATCCTTGTTTGAGGCTGATATATAGTACCACAAAATTTGAAACATTTGTTACAACATTCAAGGCCAATAAGTCATTTGTTATTCATATGAACCATAGAAAACAAAAGTTTTAAGAAAACAAAAGTAGTTATTCAGAGTTAATAAAAAATTGCTTTTCTGCTGCAGCCCTTAAGAGCCCCTATAACTCTACTAGTGTCTCCATGTAGGGGTTATTTCTAGCATGGCCAGAGCAGAGTAGAGTAGAGCAGGGAAAACCACAGTTATGTAGCTGGTCTGTTCTCTGGACGCCACAGCTGCATAAGTGACTCCCCTCTCTCGTGTCTGGAAGCTGTGAGCTGAGATCCAGATGTTCTCATCCCTTCTGGGACATCCAAATGTAACAGTGAATAACAGAGAGGGGTCTGCTCAAGAACATACACATGGCTAGAAGAGGTTACAGTAGGAGGAAAGTTAGACAACCATATCAATACTCTGTGACATTCCGGGCCGGGTGCAAGGTCTGGAAAGGATACCGGTTTATGTCACACTTGTGATAATGAATCAATGTTGTTTTACTTTCTCATGTGAAGAAAACGCCCAACACATTTTCTTTATTGGATTCCAAACAGATGAAAAGCCAGCAAAAGGCCTCTAGGCCAGGTGTCATTGACTTGGTAGCTCTCCAGCATGAGCAGGATGCATGAGAGAGAGAGAGAGAGAGAGAGAGAGAGAGAGAGAGAGAGAGAGAGAGAGAGAGAGAGAGAGAGAGAGAGAGAGAGAGAGAGAGAGAGAGAGAGAGAGAGAGAGAGAGAGAGAGAGAGAGACTCCAGCAGGTTGAGAATAGCCTTGCAGGGAAACATGCTAGCTGCAGACCAAACAAAGACTTATTGAGGAATCTCCGGGAAGACCGTTCTGTTGGAATGGAATGCCCCTCTCTTGTGTGGCTCAGCACTGGACCTCTAATCACTCACCATAGGGTCTCTGAGTCTCTTATACACACTACTGCTCCATGACAGAGCCTCACATCCTTCTTGTACTGTCCTCACTTGCCTCAATAAAACATATTAGTCGAACACAGACAGGTAATGCTGCTGTCAAGACATGGCCAAGATATATCAAACTAATTGCTTAATTCTTTTTGTCACTAATCGTCCCCATTTTGTTGTGTTCAGAGTCAGGAAAAGAGTCAGGCCCACTGGTGGGTAGCATCTACAGTTGAAGTCGGAAGTTTACATACAGTTATGTTGGAGTCATTAAAACTTGTTTTTCAACCAATCCACAAATTTCTTGTTAACAAACTATAGTTTTGGCAAGTTGGTTAGGACATCTACTTTGTGCATGACACAAGCAATTTTTCCAACAATTGTTAACAGACATTATTTCACTTATAATTCACTGTATCACAATTCCAGTGGGGTCAGAAGTTTACAAACACTAAGTTGACTGTGCCTTTCAACAGCTTGGAAAATTCCAGAAAATGATGTCCTGGCTTTAGAAGCTTCTTATAGGCTACTTGACATAATTTGAGTCAATTGGAGGTGTACCCGTGGATGTATTTCAAGGCCTACCTTCAAACTCAGTGCCTCTTTGCTTGACATCATGGGAAAATCAAAAGAAATCAGCCAAGACCTCAGAAAAAAAAATGTAGACTACAGTTTGCAACTGCACATGGGGACAAAGATCGTACTTTTTGGAGAAATATCCTCTGGTCTGATGAAACAAAAATAGAACTGTTTGGCCATAATGACCATCGTTATGTTTGGAGGAAAAAGGGGGTTGCTTGCAAGCCGAAGAACACCATCACAACCGTGAAGCACGGCGGTGGCAACATCATGCTGTGGGGGTGCTTTGCTGCAAGAGGGACTGGTGCACTTCACAAAATAGATGGCATCATGAGGAAGGAAAATTATGTGGATATATTGAAGCAACATCTCAAGACATCAGTCAGGAAGTTAAAGCTTGGTCGCAAATGGGTCTTCCAAATGGACAATGACCCCAAGCATACTTCCAAAGTTGTGGCAAAAAGGTCAAGGTATTGGAGTGGCCATCACAAAGCCCTGACCTCAATACTATAGAAAATGTGTGGGCAGAACGGAAATAGCGTGTGCGAGCAAGGAGGCCTACAAACCTGACTCAGTTACACCAGCTCTGTCAGGAGGGATGGGCCAAAATTCACACAAATTATTGTGGGAAGCTTGTGGAAGGCTACCCAAAACGTTTAACCCAAGTTAAACAATTTAAAGGCAATGCTACCAAATACTAATTGAGTAAACTTCTGACCCACTGGGAATGTGATGAAAGAAATAAAAGCTGAAATAAATCATTCTCTCTACTATTATTCTGACATTTCACATTCTTAAAATAAAGTGGTGATCCTAACTGACCTAAAACAGGAAATCTTTACTAGGATTAAATGTCAGGAATTGCGAAAAACTGAGTTTAAATGTATTTGGCTAAGGTGTATGTAAACTTCCGACTTCAACTGTATTTGGCTATAGCTTCCTCTTAGCTAATGCCTTTCAGATACATGGACTTTTCTCATGTAATGTTTTCCACTGTAACTCATTTGATCAAGATTTGAAGTTTTATTTGGAAGTTTGGGAATAAAACTATAAATTGCTTTAGAATTGTTGGCTATACATGTTTATAAGACAATTTAGAGGTGAGGTCATCAACTTCGCTGTAGGTCTGTGTTGGCTATTTAGAAAAGTTCGATTTTTTTTTTAACCAACTGGAATTTTCGTGATGGAGAGGGAGGAGTTTTCAGTCTCCTCGCCATGGGATTGTGAGCGGTTGTTATGCAACGATTACATTGAGCGTCTCGGTCCAGTCCAGCTGTTCTCATCCGGACACCTTAGAGATTCAGCCAGGCACCATAAAAGCTTTACATGGGCTAGAAGGCTAGTCTACAGAACTTCTGATGGTGATGACTCTCGGCGAGGCAATTTTCGAAGCTGTCGGATTGTAAACAGTGCGCTTTTAGACAGTGTCCTTAAATGGATGGGAACGAAATGGACCTCAGAGGAACACAATAATATTTGGAAAGTTTCACTAAATGCCCACTTGGTAGTCAGATAACTTTTAAATCTAGACGGCAATTCTGCCACACATTTTTAGGTTTCGTTTTTTTTAATGATTCCTTTGTGCCACAGAGAGAATGACCGCTTTCCCCCGTGCATAAGTGAACCTAATTCTTGCCCAAGCTACTGCTTGGAGACAAGTTAATGTTTAACCTAACTTCTGAGTTCTTAGATTACTTGGTGGGGGGCCAAATCGAACTGGAAATGGGAGCGTGCCTTTGCTGTGCCTTGTAAATTTGTACAGCCTGGTGCCAAGGGACAACAACAACAACATGGGTAGCGGTAGTAGTCGAGGAAAGAAGGTTGTTCCTGCCAGTGTCAACGAGACAAACTCATTCAAAAGAGATGACAGCACAGTCCACGTTTTGAAAGAGGAAAGACACTTGTTCAAACCATTGACGATACCCAAATCTACGAACCTAAGTCAGTCACGAAATAGAGCGCAACAAGACTGCCACAGTGAAGGACACGATTCGGAATTTTCCGCAGAGGATGATGACATTGATGTGGAACTGAACCGAGTTCTAGAGGAATATGACAATCGGGAATTGCGTTCCAAGAGGAAAACTACTCAAAAGAAGCCTTTCATCAGGTCGAAGACATATGGGTTATGTCATTCCAATCGGGTCCACAATGACAGCGATTTCAATTCAACCCCTCACTCGCAGAGTTATGAATTTTCGAAGAGGCCTGGGGCATGTTGTCCAGATAACTGTTCTGTTGGAGTCAAGGACAAGAAAGGCATCCCGGTCTTCGACCACTTTTGCAAAGATACACAAATTCAGTTCTCAAGCGGCACTCAGGAAAATGTAAGAATATTATTTTATCTAATTCTGGTCAGTGGTGACAGACAAGGATAATCAAATTGACAGCATGTTGATTTATTATTTCCCGTAGTGTCAAATGTTAAAATTACGTAACCAATGGCATGGGTAACAGATGAAAGCATTTTTATGATAAAGTTCTCTGCAAACTCTATATTGTTTTCTGCCAACTCTATTGTCAAAACTCTTCACAGGACTTGTTGACAACGGGGTCAGTTTGTTTGGAGTCAGCGCCTAGCGCAGAAACAGACTCGTAAGTAGCCTACCTGCTCTTTCATAAATAATTCATTTTTAGCTCAGTGTCGCACACACACGATTTCTGTAGTAACTGCAGATCGGGCAAGATCAAATTCACCTTGAGCATATCAAAATACAAAGCCATTGTGCTTTGGGCAGATCAGATTAGTTCCACGTCTGCAAACAACTTGGAAACAAACAGGTGCATTATTGTGGCTCATTTATTTAGATTCTTTAAAACATGGAAATATGCTGTAAATTGTAAATAAAGATTGTGATAAAATATTTAATTTTAAATAATTTGGGATTAGACCTTGGTTATATATTGCCTCTATGGCGCACTGGTTGAGCCCATTTGCGCAGCAGAATTTGGTCCACAGTTTCATTCAACCTATTTTCTTTAGGCTATGTCTGACGCCCTCTCTGCCAGTTATTTTATTGTTATTACAATTACTGACATATCTCTCTGTTCCTCCCCAGAGTCCTGGACGATAGCCATGGCCCCTCACTCTCCATGCCTGTCATCCTGTATGATGGATCAGAAGTGGACATGATGGAGACCATAGAGAGAGAGTTTAGTTGACCTCACAAGAGAGACTAAAATAGCAGGATAACTTTTGAACCAAAGATTTGTATTTTTTGTTATGAATGGTGAAGGTGCATAAAGGTGGAGGAATTCAGATATGATGCCATTGTTTTAGCACTACCCACATATTTTTTTATGTAACTGGCCAGTGTTTCCAGATTTATACGAAATATGACCTATAATTAATTACAATATGAATGAAATATCTTTCCTTCCAAAAAATGGCAATTAAGTATGTTAAAGAAAATGGCAATTAAGTATGTTAAAAAGCAGCTTTTCTGTGTTGGAATGGTGTGGGCCTACCCCAACAACAGAATGGTGTGGGCGTATACCAGTGTTAAAAAATGTTCATGCAAGTAGACAGCTGATTGGCCAGCTCCTCAGGAGGATGACATCTTCCTCAATGAGGAAATAGAAAACATGTATGAAACGTCTGTTTGAGGTGTTTCTTCTCCAATTTATGCTTTAGCCAAAAATACGAGTATAGAATGAGTCCAAAACATTATTTGGGTATGCGTTAACAGAATATTAACTTTTAAAAGTTTGATTTTCACAGGACAGTTACTTTAAACTAGGATGTGTGACATGGTTCAATGTGCCAATAAATCAGCACAATCTACTTTTTTGTTTTTTCAAATTGCCGCCATCTTGGAGCTAGAATTGGGATCAAGTTTATTGTGCTAGAGCAGATACACAAAAAAAATAGTAATAGAGAGCATTGTATAATACAGCAAACTCTTTATGCATGTCCGTATTGATCAAATCAAATGTTGTGTTTCACATGCTTCATAAAGACAACAAGGCAGAGAGAAAAATAGAAAAAATATATAACACGAGGAATAAATACACAATGAGTAATGATAACTTGGCTATATACACGGGGTACCAGTACCGAGTCGATGTGCAGGGGTACGAGGTAATTGAGGTAGATATGTACATATAGGTAGGGTCAGTGTTTTGTTCGAGACCGAGTCAAGACCGAGACCGGGAGGGGGGGCTCTACAAAGTCCAATTCAAGACCATGATTGTAATTGTGTAAAATCATCACCATAATAAGAGTTAAAAATGTCCAGTATTTCTGTGCTCATATTTCAGAATAACATATGGATTTCTTTAGACCAAGGATTCGTTAACTTTTTCAGCCTGGGACCCAAATGAGAAATTCTGTGTTTTCCTGGGACCCAAGCAAAACATGCCCCCTTTTGGGGGTCCTAAATGAGATTTGGTTGTGGGGTGCCCCCACCCCGCGGGCAAACATTTTTAGTGGCCCCCCTCGACTGCAGAGAGAAAAAAGTTTTAAAGTTAATTTCCAGTAATTCTACACATTTTGCCATGGGGAGAGAAAAATGCTGCAGTTTTAAAGCAAGTTTTCTGCAAGTCTACACATTTTGCCATGGGGCGGAGAGAACATTTAGCAATTTAATAAAACATTTCATGCAATTCTACTCATTGGGCCATGACTTATGCCTTGTTAATATGATATCTGAGTTAGAGTGACTAACAAAATCAATGTGGGCCCCATGGAGATCAGGGCCCCTGGGCACGTGCCCTGCTTGTCCGGTCAGTATTTGTCCATTATAACATTTTTACATTACATTTTTGTCATTTAGCAGACACTCTTATCCAGAGCGACTTACAATTAAGTGAGTGCATAATTTTATTTTATTTTATACCCCGTAAAGCTGGCTAGTCTAATTTACCAATCTAAAAATTGTTAGCCGAGATGGCTAATTGAGTGACTGTCAGTGACTGACATAAGAGAAAAACTGCTGATGCACAACCAAATTTCGAAATTGCACCTTGTCTATTCTACTATTCTACATGAAGTGTGTGGTCCTTTGTAGCTCAGTTGGTAGAGCATGGTGCTTGTAAGGGTAGGCAGTTCGATTCCCAGGACCACCCATACATAAAATATATGCACCCATGACTGTAAGTAAGTCGCTTTGGATAAAAGCTTTTGCTAAATGGCATATATTCTAACTCTCAACAGTCATTTGAGACCTAATAAGTTTGAGACCATTAAGTTCCTAATAAATAAAAAACACATCTGCGACCCATACTTTAAGAAAGGCTGCATTAGACATTCAGAATGTTGAAAAAATGCCTGCTTAGGGCAAATAGGGAGCCACTCTACAAATGATCACTAACCCAAACAGGTCTATAATAGATACCAATACAAAATATGTTACAACTTCCTCTGGTCTCCCCTTACTAATAGTGAGCACACAACATCAAATCATTTCCCCCACTCTTCCATACTGTGACACTCTGGCTCTATGGACGTTTATAGTTGAGCCAGGGTTGTTCATTTTCATGTGTTTGGGTGTATTTCATTTGGTGGTGTTGGGGATGGGTGAGTTTCATTTTGTTTGTGTCATGTGGTGATTGGTCGATGACTCCCAATCGGAGGTAACGAGTGTCAGCTGTCGGCTCGTTATCTCTGATTGGGAGCCATATATATTCTGTATGTTTTCTCCTTTGGTTGGTGGGTTTTTGTTTCCGTGTTGCTGTTAGTCTGTATCAGTATTTGAACTTCACGTATCGTCATTTGTTGTTTTCTTCGTGGTTGCTTTAAATAATAAAGTCATCATGTTCACTCGCAACGCTGCGCATTGGTCCGCTCCTTCAGACGATCGTGACAGAATAACCCACCACAAGAGGACCAAGCAGCGTAACAAGCGGCAACAGGACCTACCTACGCAGGATTTATGGACGCCTCCTAAGGATTTTTGGACATGGGAGGAGATTCGGGCTGGAAAGGGTCCTTGGGCACAACCGGAGGAATATCACCGCCCTCGTGAAGAGCTGGAGGCAGCTGCAGCCGAGAGGAGGTGGTATGAGGAGGAATATCACCGCCCTCGTGAAGAGCTGGAGGCAGCTGCAGCCGAGAGGAGGTGGTATGAAGAGGAAGCGCGGAGTCGAGGCTGGAAGCCCGTGGTTACTCCCCAAAAAATTTTTTGGGGGGGGCACATGGCTTGGGCGCCTGGGCAGCAGGAGGCTGCCACAGGTAGAGCTGGAGAGAAGGCTATCGGATTACGGGAGCCATTGGCGAGTAGAGGGAGGGAAGTTGTTGTGGCACGGCATGAGAGACTGAAGTGTGTTACCAGTCTGGTCCGGTCCGTTCTTGATCCCCAGTTAAGGCCAGTGGTGGGTGTTCCCGGTACGGACCGGTCTGTTCCTACTCCACGCACCAGGTCCACGATGTGCGTCGCCAGCCCGGCCCGGCCTGTTCCGGCCACTCGCACCAGGGATAAGGTGCGCGTCGCCAGCCCAGCCCGGCCTGTTCCTGCTCCACGCACGAATCCTACGGGGTGCGTCACCAGTCGGCCAGAGTCTGCCGTCTGCCCAACGGCGCCTGAACTGGCCGTCTGCCCAACGGCGCCTGAACTGGCCGTCTGCCCAACGGCGCCTGAACTGCCCGTCGGCCCTATGGCGTCTGAACTGCCCGTCTGTCAAGCGCTGCATAAGCCGCCCGTCTGTACTGAGCCTGCAAAGCCGCCCGTCTGCCATGAGCCTTCAGAGCCGTCCGCCAGATCGGAGCCGCTAGAGCCTTCCGCCAGACAGGAGCCGCTAGAGCCTTCCGCCAGACAGAATCATACACCTGCTATGGAATCAGCAGGAGCCGACGCAGCCCATACTAGACTGGAAGCTCAGGTTCGGAACCAGAAAGAGCAGCTCCTGCAGATGGGAGCTGCCCTGCTGGAGGTGATGACTGCTATCCGAGGCTGGGGTCCGCCTCCACCGCCAGCCTCCCAGCCAGCACCATCAGCCAGCCATGAGCAGCCAGATCTGTCAACCAGCCATGAGCAGCCAGATCCGTCAGCCAGCCATGAGCAGCCAGATCCGTCAGCCAGCCATGAGCAGCCAGACCCGTCAGCCAGCCATGAGCAGCCAGATCCGTCAGCCAGCCATGAGCAGCCAGATCCGTCAGCCAGCCATGAGCAGCCAGATCCGTCAGCCAGCCATGAGCAGCCAGATCCGTCAGCCAGCCATGAGCAACCAGATCCGTCAGCCAGCCATGAGCAGCCAGACCCGTCAGCCAGCCATGAGCAGCCAGATCCGTCAGCCAGCCATGAGCAGCCAGATCCGTGAGCAGCAGATCCGTCAGCCATGAGCAGCCAGATCCGTCAGCCAGCCATGAGCAGCCAGATCCGTCAGCCCGCCAGGATCCGCCAGATCCGTCAGCCAGCCAGGATCCGCCAGAGCCGTCCAGCCAGGATCCGCCAGAGCCGTCCAGCCAGGATCCGCCAGAGCCGTCCAGCCAGGATCCGCCAGAACCGTCTAGCCAGGATCCGCCAGAGCCGTCCAGCCAGGATCCGCCAGAGCCGTCCAGCAAGGATCCGCCAGAGCCGTCCAGCCAGGATCCGCCAGAGCCGTCCAGCCAGGATCCGCCAGAGCCGTCCAGCCAGGATCCGCCAGAGCCGTCCAGCCAGGATCCGCCAGAGCCTTCCAGCCAGGATCCGCCAGAGCCGTCCAGCCAGGATCCGCCAGAGCCGTCCCCCCAGGATCCGCCAGAGCCGTCCAGCCTGGATCCGCCAGAGCCGTCCCGCCAGGATCCGCCAGAGCCGTCCCGCCAGGATCCGCCAGAGCCGTCCCGCCAGGATCCGCCAGAGCCAGCCAGCCAGGATCCGCCATCTAGTCAGGTACTGCCCCTTAGCCCGGTGCTGCCCCTTAGTCCGGTGCTGCCCTTTAGCCCGGTGCTGCCCCTTAGTCCGGTGCTGCCCCTGAGTCCGGTGCCGTCCCTTAGCCCGGTGCCGCCCCGTAGTCCGGTACTGCCCCTTAGCCCGGTGCTGCCCCTTAGTCCTGTACTGCCCTTTAGTCCGGTACTGCCCCGTAGTCCGGTGCTGTCCCTTAGTCCGGTGCTGTCCCTTAGCCCGGTGCTGCCCCTTATCCCGGTGCTGCCCCTTATCCCGGTGCTGCCCCTTAGGCCGATGCTGCCCCTTAGTCCGGGGTTGCCCCTTAGTCCAGGTGGGGTTAGGTGGAGGGAGGTCATTGGG